ACAAGGATAGTACCATTGACTATCTCACTGTCCTTAAAAGGTGCGATTTAAATTGGTTTTCCTTAACTGAAGATTGGCTTTTACTGCTACCCAGGTGAGTGCAAACTTGCCTACTACCCTATATCTGGCTGGCTCCCGGCAAGATTATGCTATTGCTCTCTGCTTTGTGCACCAGTTAGTTACTTTGCCCACCCCATATATTTGCAAGGTGGCATATTATATTATGGAGTCAATTGAGCTCTGGGATTGGAGTCAGGAAGACCTGAGTTTAAATGTGGCCTCAGTTTCCTCAACTGTAAAGTGGGAATAATAATAGCAACTACCTCTCAGGGTTTTTGTGAGGGTGAAATGGGATAATCAATCAATAACCCATAAACTTTTATTAAGCACCTACTATGTGCCAGGCGCTGTGCTAACCACTGGAGATACAAAAAGAGGCAAAAGGCATTCCTTGCCCTCAAGGAGCTTACAATCTAACAGGAAAGAAAACACACAAACATTTATATAAAACAAGCTATATACAGCATAAATAGGAAATAATTGATAAAAGGTGCAAGAGTTGAGGGTTTGGGAAAGGCTTCCTATAGAAGGTGGGATTTTGGGTGAGACTTACAGGAAGCCAGGAAGGTCAATAGTTGGAGGAGGAGTTGGAGAAGGGAGAGTGTTCCAGGTATAAGGAACAAGCAGAGAAAACATTTGTGAAGCAATTAGCACAGTGCCAGGCACACAGTAGGCACTATATAAATACTAGCTGCTGTTGTTGTTAATTATTATTACCAATTCCCCAGGAGATTGGCAGCTTTACCAGCCTACTAATAAATCAATAAGGTGAAGGCCTCAGGCTACACCTAATTTCTCCCTATAAACCAGGGGTACTTTATCACTTTTTGTGGCATTCACCCTTTTGGCAGTTCGGTGAAGCCTATGAACCTGTTCTCAATATAATGTTTTTAAATGGGTAAAATAAAATACATAGGATTACAAAAGAAACTATATTAAAATGCAAGTATTAAAATATTTAAAACAAATTTGTGATAGTAATATCTGCTTTATTAATATGCTAAGTAACAAAAAAAAACATTTAAAATATAGACAAGACAAAGTTAAATTTTATTTCTTGATTGTATCAGTGTGAAAATTATCGTTGCTTAGCTTGAATAAAAACTTTAAACTGGGTGGTCTTTGTGGCCACACACACACACACACACACACACACACACACACACACGTCATGTTGGATGTACAGTTGATTTGGATTTTTTTGTTCTGATGGTTACAAATGTTAAAAATTGCAATATGTTGTTGCAAATGGAATTACAGTTACTTGGCTCACTTTATTTTTTAAAAGCATTTCTCAATTTATTTTGATTTATCAACAATCACTTCCATAAGCTTTTGAGTTTAAATTTTTCTCCCTCTCCCTGTCCCTCCCCAAGACGGCACGCAATCTGATATAGGCTCTACATATACATTCCTATTAAACATATTTTCACATTAGTGATGTTGTAAGGAAGAATTAGAACCAATAGGAGAAACCACAAGAAAGATGAAACCAAACAAAACAGAAGAAAAGAAATAGAAAATAATATGCTTCGATCTGCATGCAAACTCCATGGTTCTTTCTTTGGATTTGGATAGCATTTTCCATCAAGAGGTCTTTGGAGATGTCTTAGATCCTTGCATTGCCGAGAAAGGCTATGTCTCTGAAAGTTAGTCCTGGAACAACGTGCAATATTACTGTGTACAATGTTTTCCTGGTTCTGCTCATTTCACTCAGCATCAGTCCATACAAGTCTTTCCAAGTTTACCAGAAGTCTGCCTGCTCATCATTTCTTATAGCACAATAGTATTCCATTACATTCATATACCACAACTTGTTCAGTCATTCCCAAATTGATGAGCATCCCCTCAATCTCCAGTTCTTGGCCACCATAAAAAGATCTGCTATAAATATTTTTGTACATGTGGATCCTTTTCCCATTTGTATGGTTTCTTTGGGATGCAGACCTAGAAGTAGTATTGCTGGGTCAAAGGGTATGCACAATTTTATACCCTTTTGGCATAAGAACCTCAATTTTTTTTAAAAGAACCTCAATTTTACCTTTCTCTCAAATCACAGAACCACAGCAGCTCAGAGTTGGCAGGAGGCCATCTAGTCTAATTTGTATTTGAACCAGGATCCCCTTGTTTCTACTTTTGGATAGTTTCATTTGGGAACTTTCCCTTCCATTGAGGTTTTCAGGTGGTCCATTTTAAGAGTTGTTTTACGCTGAATCTATTTGATTTATTAGTGAGATGAAACTTTTTTTTTCCACATTAATTGTGGAAAATTAGCCAAACTTTCTGTACTTGGGCAGTTGATTCTTTGGTGCAAAGTGTTCAAAGGCATTTATCCTTGTATCATCCCAGAGATGACTTCTCAGGGCCGCTGTGGCACTAGGACAGTGTGATTTTACAGATGAGGAAGCTGAGACTCAGAAAGGTGCACTGACCTGCAAAGTCATCCAGCCAGTTCGTGGTGGAGACAGCTCAACCACACGTCTCTTGATTTCTTTCTACTCCTCTGTTGTTCTTTCTCATTACAGACCTTCACATCATAATTGCTATTGAGAAAATGCACGATGACTAAATGCTCTTAGGAATTCAGTATTGCTTTACAAATCAATTTGCATTTTATTTATCACAGGACATCTAATACATTTGAAAAAATAGTAATACATATATTGTGAAATATGTATCATATTTAGTCTGTAGAAACTATTATTCAAAATTTAACAAACATTAAGTATCTACTATGTGCCAAGCATCCTGCTAGTCACTTGGAATGCAAAGGCCAAAATATAACAGCTGCTGCCCTCAATGAGCTTATATTCCATTGGAAAGGGAAGAGGAAGGGAATAATCATTTAAATAGTGCCTACTATGTGCTAAGCTCTATGCTAAGTACTTCTACAAATATTATCTCATTTGATCCTCACAACATCCCTGTAAAGTAGGTGCTATTACTTCCCTCATTTTACTTTTGAGGAAACTGAGACAAACAGGTTAAGTGATTCCCAGGGTTACACAGCTTATAAATGATGCCAAATTTGAACTCAAGTCTTCCTGACTATAGGCACTGTGTTCTATCTACTGCTCCACCAGCTTCATGGGGGGAAAAAGGAAGCAACATGCACACAGATAAGTAGATGGAAAGTATTTTAGGGGGCTGGCACTAACACCTGGAGGCGATAGAGAATAGCTTCATGTAGGATGTTATACTTGAGTTAAACCTTGAAGGACGCTAGAGAATCCAAGAAGTAGAGATGAAGAAGTGTGAATTTCAGGCATGTGAAACAGACAGGGGGAGGCAGAAGCAAGAGATGGAATGTCCGGTTTGAGAAACAGCACGTGGACCAGCCTGGCTAGAACGTACAGTGGATGGAGAGTAATGTGCACTAAGCCTGAAAAGGTTGACCCAAAGCAGCTTTTGAAAGGCTTTAAATGTCCAACAGAGGAGTTTATGTTTTATTCTAGCTCAGTACAAGTAGCTTCTTGAGCAAGGGAACATTCCTGTGCTTTAGGAACATCCCTTTGGTGCCTGGGTGCAGGATAAATTTGGAGAGGAAGGAGACTTGACATAGAGAAGTTAATTAGAGGACAATTGCAATAATCCAGGTGAGGAGTTATTGGGCCATAGTGGTGACCATGTGAGTGGAGAGAAGGGGTTGCATGTAAGAAACCTGGCAACTGATGATCTCAGGAATAATGAGAGTGAATAGGTGAAGAGGACTCCCCAGGTTGCAAAATTGCATAGCTAGAAGGATAGTGGCACCCCCATGAGAGAAAGGGAAGTTAGCAGGATGGTTGAGTTTGAGAGGAAAAACGACTTCTGTTTTGGATTTGTTGAGTCTGAGATGTATATGCAACATGCTGTTCTTCAGAATGTCCTTATGACTTTGGTGCTGTTTGTGGTTTTACAAATGAGAACAAAGCTGAGAGTTTCAATGATGGAAGGAAAAACCTAATCATTAGAGATGTAAAGAAGTCACTAGGTTCTCCCTTCCTGGAGGTATTTAGTTGGAGGCTGTATTGTTGGAGATCTTAACAAAAGGGATTCTTGATAAGATTTGGAGTTGGACTGTCTGACCTCTGAGGTGCCTTCCAGCCCTATGATACTTCTTTGTGACGAGCTCAATGTCTTGTGGCTAGTAAGTCATGGGGCAAGAAGTGGAATCTAGGTCTGTCCAGAGCTCTTTCCATGATACCACAGTGAATGAATGTAAAGTCTGAATTATGGAATATAGCATTTTCGATGTAATCTTTTTTTTTGCTTTTAAACAGGAAATGTGTTATCTAATGAAGGTCCTTAGCCTGTTGTAATAGATAAACATGGCTTGTTATTAGCATACTCATTTCTGTATGTAAATGGTGATTTTAAAACATTTGGAAATAATTCAGTATCCCTAAATAGTTTAATTATACCACCCACCACCACCCCCTTACAACATTACTTAAGCTGTTAATTTATTTTAGAGATAAAGTGAAGACAAGTCCAAAGGTCTATCCTTTTTGCTTTCTTTTATCTGCAGTAGGTAACACTCATATTTGCTGCAGCAGCTGATCTGCTTTCTAATTTCCTCTGGTCTTAGAAAACAGATAATTAAAGTTTTTAATATTGTCTATAAACTAAAAGTCAGTTGACTCTAAAGGAAGACCTGAGTGTAAGACATGAACTTTAGCTCTGCTTGGCTGCTCCAAGGACTTGTTTTGTTTCCTTTCTAGTCACTGGCTATGTTCTAGATATAGGTAGTCTTAGGCAAGTAGCCCCAGCCATACAACATTAACATATGTTGCCAGAATAGAGATCTTCATGTTACCTATTTTCATGAATAAACAGGACTGGTGATGAGCATATCATTTTATGTGAATGTATTTTGCTAAAGTCACTGAATGTTCACATAAAATGGGTTGGCAGGATTTCCTAAAATATTTTCTCCTTTTCTTCTTTCTCATCTGTAGGTTGCGAGATGGGAATACAAAACACGCAAGCTGAGCCGGGCCTTTGGATCTCCCTATCTTGCATGTTACTGTCTGGGCACAATCGTCCTGCTGTTGAACTTCCTCAGGTCTCACTGGTAAGCTACTGACTTATTCTTGAGCAGCCCTCTTTTTTTTAGACCATCCTATTTATCTCCCAGCATATCATTTTCTGGCCCTTTGGTAATCTCTTCTCCTGGCATGTTTCTGCTTTTCCTCAAAGGTAAAATTTTTCCCAACTCCCCCAGTTGTTCCCAGTTCCCCAAAAACAAACAAGTCTGTTTTTAACTTAAATAGCAAAAAAAAAATTATTGGTATAATATTTGGAAGAACAAAGGGGATATGTTTTAAATAATAACTCACATTTATGTAGTGCTTTAACATTTACAAAAATGCTCTCTTCACAATGAATCTGTAGGGTAGATAGAACATACTTGCCCTAGAGATGGATAATGTGATGGAATGGAAAGTTTCATCACTCCATTTTACAGATGAGGAAATTGAGGCTCAGATTAAATTTCACACTCCTGAATACATAGCCAGTAAATGTTCAAGGCAATCTAGGTATCCCAGACTATAAATCTAATGATTTTTCCATTCTTCAATGCTGCTTTGTAAAATAAAATGGATAGCATTTTATGGATGGATGGATGGATAGATAGATAAATAGAGTGATGTGACACACACACAGGATTGGTCATCCATGCTGTGAAAAGCATAAGTATCATCTAGCATTTGAAAGGGAGCGCTTAGGAGGCTCAGAATGTAGAAACATACAAATCTCAGCTTCTTCACTCATACTGGGCTTGCCCTTTTGCCTCTGTAAAATGGGTGTAATTGTACACATCTCTATAGCCAGACTGAGGAATAAGCAGGATGGGGACAGTGCTCTAATCAGGACTGATGATGAGTTAGAAGGTGAGTGTCAGAAGGACCTTGGAAACCACCTAGTGGAGCCCCCTTGCTCTATGGGGAGGAAGCCAAGATCCAGGGAAAAGGAAGATTATCTTCTCCAAGGTCACCCAGCTAGCAGAGAACTTTGGTCTCTTTAAATCACAGTCCAGTTTCTTTGTATCCTTCACATTTACTTCTCTGATTATGGTCTATCCTAATGGAGCCAGAGATAAATAGTATGAATAAACAAAATTCCTAGATAAAACTAAAACTTCATTCTGAGCATTAGTTTCATTTTATCCCTCTGGCAGTCTCCAAGGAGGTACACACTTAAACTCAAAGGAAAAACAGATAACCCACCCTTTAACTTATCTTCTTTTGTATCTGAACATCAACTTTCTTACTGAATATTGAGGCTTCAAAAATCATCATTTATTCCATCCTTCTGCTCAAAAAAATGAACCAAAACAGTGCCCCTCTGGAAACTGAAGGTGACCTGAACTTAGCTCCCAGGTGTTAGGTTTTCTGCATTACCTGGAGTAAATCTGTCCTTTGCAGCCTCCCTCCTCTTCTGGGCAGAATTTATCCTTGGTGACCCTTAGTTCTTGTGTCTTTGTTCCTTTCTATTTCCCAGGTACTCAGAACCCTTATTCTACCTACCCAGCACTATACTTATGCCTAGTAAGAACCTACCCAGCACTATACTTCCTCCATTAATTGAACCTGATCCATTTTCTCAAAGTCACATAAGATGACTTCTGTGTAATTTGGTAACTGAATTCAGGCTAATCTACTAAGCCAGTGGATTAATGTGTAATATACCCATTTTCCAGGGAGGGTATAGTGTCTTAACCCAAAATAGAAGTAGTAGAATGTTCAGGGGTGTTAGAAAGATGTTTTCAGATATGGGTATCTTGTAAACCTCTCTAATGTAGATGACCATTTATTCTGCATGTGTAGGGCTAGTCCTGCCTATTCGGAGTTAGAGGTCAAGGCAAAACCTTGGGTGAGTCTCATAAATGGATATTGTTTCTATACTAGTCAGGTTAGCCCAAAGGTACCTAATTTTCTAATTTGGGCATCAAATAAGTTATGTCCTACTGACTTTCATTAGTTTCTAATTCAGAGTTTGGTGGTTAGAGGTAGGGGATACGCCAAGAAGTGTGTTAGGGAAGGTGAGAGATTCTTTTATAAAAAGGCAGATTTAGATTTGATATTAGGAAAAACCTCCTACATTAGCATCATCCTAAGTGAAATGAATGAGCCACCTTGAGCTTAACAGGCTTTCCCTCAGTTAAAAAAAAAAAATTAAAGCAAAGGCTGGGTGATTGCTCTTTGGCTATTCTTTAAGAAGCCCTGGGGTCCAGTAGCCCTTTACTCCCCCAGAAACAGCTGAGGCTGCAGCTAGAGCAGGTTCAGTGGTGGGTGAAAATCTCAAGGGGTTGGGTTCCCACTACTGCCCACACAGAATGGACCTGCACAGAGCTATAGGGTTTTTTTTTTTGTTTTTTTACTTTTGCAGTTATTCCGATAATAAAATGTAAACATGCATGAGTGGGAAGAACAAAGTGTACTTCTGTATTTTCAGATACCCTCAAAAATGAAAATCCCAGGTCCTATGGAGTTGCAGAGTTCCATGGTATCTTGTGATACCTGACAGTCTCACAAGGACCCCCTTGTTAAAGCTGAGAATTCCACCACCGATGATCCTTTCCTTTGAGTAAAGCAAAGCTCTCTCTCTGCTTTCTATTTTTAAAATGTAAATATTACTAGAAGGGTATAACATTAATACCCTAACATTTTTCTGAATGAGGCTGGCAGAGCCTTTTGTCTTTGAGGAAGAGTTATTCCTCTTGTGTTCCAAACACAGAACTGGGAGTTGGGAGATCTGAGCATTAGTCCTTCTTGTTCCACTAAGTATGTGACCTTAGGCAGCTTATTTCTCCTCTCTGGGTATCTGTAAACCTTCTCTGCAAAATGAGAGGTTTGAACTAGATAATCTAAAAGGTTCCCTTCCACATTTTATTTATTTATTTATTTTTTAATTTATTTTGATTTATCAATAATCACTTCCATATGCTTTTGAGGTTTAAAATTTTTCTCCTCCTTCCTCCCCACCACCCTCCCCAAGTCGGCGCACAATCTGATATAGGCTATACATTTACCTTGATATTAAACATATTTTCACATTAGTGATGTTGTAAGTAGAAATTAAAACCTATAGGACGGACCATCAGAAAGAGGAAACAAAACTCAACAAAAGAGAAAAAAAATAACAATTAGGCTTCCATAGTTCTTTCTTTGGGTGTGGATAGCATTTTCCATCACAAGGCCTCAGGAGATGTCTTAGATCCTTGTGTTGCCGGGAAGGGTTAAGTTTATCAATATCAGTCATCACACAACGTGGCTGTTGTTGTGTACAATGTTCTCTTGGTTCTGCTCACTTCACTCAGCATCAGACCATACAAGTCTTTCCAGGTTTTTCTGAAGTCAGCCTGTTCATCATTTCTTATAGCATAATAGTATTCCATTACATTCATATACCACAACTTGCTTAGCCATTCCCCAGTTGATGGGCATCCTCTCAGTTTCCAATTCTTTGCCACCACAAAAAGAGCTGCTATGAATATTTTTGTACTTGTGGGTCCTTTTCCCATTTGTGTGATCTCTTTGGGATATAGCCCTAGAAGTGCTATTGCTGGGTCAAAGGGTATGCCCATTTTTATAGCCCTTTGGGCATAGTTCCAAATCAATCTCCAAAATGGTTGCATCATTTCACAACTCCACCAACAATGCATTAGTGTTCCAATTTTCCCACATCTTCTCCAATATTTATCATTTTCCTGTTTTGTCATGTTGGCCATTCTGATAGGTGTGATGTAGTACCTCAGAGTTGTTTTGGTTTGCATTTCTCTAATCAATAGTGATTTAGAGCATTTTTTCATATGACTATAGATGGCTTTAATTTCTTCATCTGAGAACTGTCTGTTCATATCCTTTGACCATTTATCAATTGGGGAATGGCTGATATTCTTATAAATTTGACTTAATTCTCTATATATTTTAGAAATGAGGCCCTTATCAGAGAGACTGGTTGTAAAAATTCTTTCCCGATTTTCTACCTTCCTTCTCATCTTAGTTGGATTGGCTTTGTTTGTGCAAAAACTTTTCAACTTAATGTAATCAAAATTATCTATTTTCCTTTCATAATGTTCTCTATCTCCTGTTTGGTCATGAATTCTTCTGTTCTCCGTAGATTTGACAGGTAAACTATTCCTTGTTCTCTCAGTTTGCTTATAGTATCAGCCTTTATATCTAAATCATGTACCCATTTTGATTTTATTTTGGTATATGGTGTAAGATTTGGTCTATGCCTAGTTTCAGCCATACTGTTTTCCAGTTTTCCCAGCAGTTTTTTTCCAAGAGTGGGTTCTTATCCCAGAAGCTGGGGTCTTTGGGTTTATCAAATAATAGATTACTATAGTCATTGACTACTATGTCTTGCATACTTAACCTGTTCCACTGATCCACCACTCTATTTCTTAGCCAGTACCAAGCAGTTTTGATGATTACTGCTTTATAACACAATTTAAGATCTGGAATGGCTAGGCCACCTTCCCCTGCATTTCTTTTCATTAGTTCTCTTGATATTCTGGACCTTTTGTTCTTCCAAATGAATCTTGTTATTATTTTTTCTAACTCTATAAAATAATTTTTTGGTAGTTTGATTGGTGTGGCACTGAATAAGTAAATTAGCTTAGGTATAATTGTCATTTTTATTATATTAGCTTGGCCTACCCATGAGCAACTGATGTGTTTCCAATTATTTAGATCTGATTTTATTTGCATGAAAAGTGTTATGTAATTGTGTTCATAGAGTTCCTGGGTTCGTTTCAGGAGGTAGACTCCTAAATATTTTATAATGTTTACAGTAAGTTTAAATGGAATTTCTCTTTCTACCCTTCCACCTTTACCACACATTTTAGTTTCACTATTTTGCCTGGAGCTCCCTTCTCTGTCATTACTCTCCTGGACCACTGAGATTCCTATTTCTTTCTCTTTCATTCACCATGGCATGGCGTCTGAACATTTGAGGATTGTGCTGTGCCAAAAAAGTACAGAGTGTTTCAAGAAATTGTTGCTCTTATCTGGAGAAGATAAGTGTTGAACCAGTCCTGATTTTAATTAAAGATGTTCTCCTATT